AAACCCAAAATCTCTGTAAATGTTCATTAAAACTAATAAAATTTAATTAAAAAAAAGACTGTGTTTTGAAATACAGCCAGATTTGAATATTTTGACAAGTCTTTCAAGATGCTTCCTTTGCAAACTTAGGAGAAAATGAGCTAAAAAGAAAATACAAACTTATCACCACAACAACTCACTGATCCATATATGAGCCTCCAGTGATTTTTCTGAGGCTTTCAATTACATGAGAGGATATTCTTCATCTCTCTGTCATGGAGCAGCTGGTGGAGTCAAACTGCTTGGCCACCAGAGCTCCCTACAAATTGAATCTGTATGATTAATATCTTACTCTTTATTTCCTTTTTTATAAATTGACTGTGAGGATAGCCCAGGACATGACTGCTATGAGACTGAATCTACTTGATGGCACTTAATATCCCAATTAGAACATTTTCTTAAGAGAGAGGGATTACTGGAAATAGAGTTAAAATAGCAATGGATAAAATCTATTTATCAATAACTGAAAAAATAAACCCTGATTGAAAATTAGTACATACATCATAAGCTCCGGCCTTGATCTGCTGATAGAGTCTGTGTTGGTCTTCATCCCAAAAGGGTGGATATCCCACCAGAAGAATATAGAGAATGACACCTGGAGGAAATTATCATAGGAAGATAATGTAAATCATGTAATCAATAATGCATGTGGCTGAGTAACAGTTATATACGACAAATCCATTAAAACAGAAAAATTCTGAAAGCAATGAACATTTCAAAGACTTATTATGAATCACTTTAAAGTGTTCAGTAGTAGGTGACTGCTCCTCATTTTACATTTAAGGCCTCTGATAATATGTGATAGTAAAACAGAGACCAATGAATTTGAAAGAGACATGGCAGGGCTATAGCTAAAGATAAAATTCACTTGTCATTTAGGGTAATGTATTTTTTTTTTACTTCCCTGAGCTCTTGGGTATACATGACCTTTCTACACACATATCTACATAGATGTTATGTGGTTTTAGTCCCTCTGTAGATTGGCATTTAGAAACTTGGAAACATGCTATGCTATTTTCTCTTATTCATTTTGCTGGTAACTAGGACAATCCGTTTAGTGATAGTGCCCTGGTTATAACTACATGCTCTAAAGAGTCAGACACTTAGAGTAGTGTAGAAAAAAAATACAAAGATAATAACAAAACATAGCTTTTCTTCCATGATCTTAGTCTTCAGAAATAGTTTTTCAATAACTAGCAATATTACTGAATAATATTTTTATTTGGATGTGGGGAAAGGGGTTGAAATTGCTCTTACAACTCATATAAATACACGTTCGCTATCATACAATTTGAAATCTGTGGTGTTAGCCTTAAAGTTGGGTTTTTTTTCCAGCTATTACGTTAATCCTCCTCTAATCTCCAGCTACCTTAACTACAGACACATATTCTTGCAAATCATCAACAGCTGTGGTACTAGGATAAGAGAAAGTGCTTCTCACACTGAGGAAGAAGACTTGCAGGGGCAAGACTTGAAGGAGACCCTGGTGACGAGAGCTTGGTGGTGAGACTCTTGTGGTGAGCCCTTCGTGACAAGACACTGGTGATGGTAGTAGAATGACTGTGGCATTGCTGTGGAGACACTGTAGCAAGATACGACCTGAAGCGCCTTAAATTTGGGCTTGCCACAGTTAAAGGTTTTACTGTTCTTCTTGATGCTTGAAGGAGAAAGGAATTTATAACTACCCTAAGGCAAATCTTGCTGGATGATGAAGAAAACCAGAGGCTTCTTGAATTTGTTTTGTTGAACTAAAACCAGAGCCTAGGCTAACTGATGAACTGTGTCTTAGAACTGCTTGGCTAAAACTTGGATTTGTATTGGGTGATATTCTTTGCCTTCCCCGCTCTCCAACTTTATCTTCTAATAAACCCTAATCTTGGTACCACAACTGTCAACAACAAATAAACAAACCTCTTGAAGCAGCTGGACTATGGGCTCTTTATCTACTTTCTGCTCTGGGATGGTGAGGGTCTGTGCCATTCTCACTCCTTCTGGCCCTTTCAGAGAGATGCTTACCAGGCAAAACCCTTCCCATAAATATGCAACTACTTTCAAATTAGTTCACACTTGATTTAACTTATAATTTTGAAAAGTTTATGTTCACAGGCTATTACCTTTCCGTGATACTAAATCTAGAGTCAAAAAGTCCACAGAGACTATTGTGTCAGTAGGGTCCTGCCTTTATCATCCTACCCTCTCCTTTTAAAATACTTTCTGTATCTTCTTAAAATCCCAGACTTCTTTTCTTGTTCTTTATCTGGGACACTCTTTCCTGCTTATTTTTCTTTTGGCATTTCCACTTTTCCACTTAAGCTACAGAAACCTGAGGGCCAAGAACACATTAGATGAATTTTTCACTGAGAATATTCTGAGATCCCTTTTCCTTTGTTTTCTATGTTTTCGTTAGTAAGACTAGCCATGTCCCTGTCCACTGATTTTGTTCTTTTTATACCATACACACTACTTTAGCTGTTTAATAAAGCTTATTCACCCTTTCACTCAGACTTTTATAGTCTGCCTTGGAAAAAACTGTTGAACACTTGGTTTTTGAAAGGCATGTGAATTTACACCACAGAAAAATATTTTAAACAGTATTCTTCAATAAAGAAAAATAAAACCAATAAACAAAATCCAAGGCTTCTACATGAAAACTGAGGGTTTTTTTTAATCTATAATTTCACCAACACACTTTTTAAACAAAATGGAATGAAAAACCAAACATGAAAAACTAGTGGTTCATCTTGCAACACAAAAACCAATTATTCCATCTTGGACTACATTACAGAGTTAGGTGCAGCCACCTGAATTTACCTTCAATTCCTCTCCACTCTCTAATGTAACAGACATATATAATGATAATGGTAATGCTAATGATGATGTGGAGTATCTGCATTTGTGTTTCTGGAGAAGCAGAAGAGAGGCTGTACCTAAGTGGTTTTTTAGTCCTTAGCTATGGCTGGGGGTGGTGGTGATGGTAGTGAAGGAAAACATTTGCTTTACTTTGGCATATCCAGATACAGCATATTTGGAAATTACAGCATGACATTTACAAGAAATCTGGGCTTCCTTTCCTAATAACTATGAATTTGTTGTTGTTGTTAAGTGTCATAGAGTCGTAGATGACTCATAGCGTCCCTGTGAATGAAAGACTTGTGTAACTTTCATCGATTTTCTAAGTTCATAGGGTTTTTTGAGGCAAGCTATTTTGGAAGTGGATGCCACTCCTGCTTCCAAGGCTGTCTTAATCTAGTAGCTCTACCAAACACTGTCCACAATGAGTAACCATTATCACATTTGACATGTCAATGTCATGGTGTTTAGCATCACAGCAACCACAAGTTGCCTCTGTACAGCAAACTGACAGACCAGTGCTATACTACTTACAAAAACAATTAAAACCAAGCCTGAGGGCTATGGATTAAAATCACTTACCTTTGGCTTGCTATCATAACTTTCTACCCACTAGGCCTACAGAGTTCTCTCTATGACTCACAGATATTCTGTGAACAACAGATCTAACCCTTTCCCTACCCTATGCCATCCCCACAATCCAAAACATGTCTGAGCCTATTGTTACAGTCGTATCAATCCATCCTGTTGAGGATCTTCTTTTTTTCTCTAACCTTCCACTTGTCTCAGCATGCTGTAATTTTCCAAGGATTGGAACCTTAACTGTTGTTTGTTGTTGTTAAGTGCAGGCGAGTTGTAGATGACTCAAAGCAACCCTATGAAAGACCTGGCCTGAACAATTGTGTAACTTTCATAGTTTCTGTAAGTTCGTACAGTTTCTGGAGGCAAGTGATTTCAGAAGTAGATGATCGCTAAGATATTTAGCATTATAAACCTAGACTTTGGAAGGAGGAGTGACATCCACTTCCATAATAGCTTGCCTCTGGAAACCCTATGAACCTGGAGAGAGGATGAAAGACACTCAAGCATCGAGCACTCTCCTTCATAGGATCACTATGAGTCGCCTGCGAATGGACGTCACTTAGCAACAACAACAACAAACCTAGACTAGGATCCTAAAGCATAGCCCCTAAAGTGAAACTTTGTCTCGCATATTTTGGGCATGTTTTCAGGAGAGGCCAGTTGTTGGAGAAAGACATGATACTGAGAAAAGTGTAGTTTCAGAGAAATAGAGGAAGATCTTCAACAAGACTGGTTGACACAGTGATCATAACAATTGGCTTGAGCACACCACTCATCATGAAGATGGTGCAGGAAAAGGCTAAGTTCAGATCTCTTTATCATAGGGTCCCTATGAGTCACAGTAGATTTGAGGGCATCTAACAACAACAAACAATAAATCTACACATCCTTATGTGCTATGTCTACACTCTTATAGTATATGACATCAGGTTTAAGAAAATGAATGTTAGTGCAAAAAGTAGGAAACAGAGATGAGGTAAGAATAATCATCATTCAATTTAGTACATCTTTAATTTTGTGTATCTTTACAATTATCTAGACTAGAATTTTAAGACTATTTTTAAACAGTCATTTTCCTTTAACTGTTAGGCCTCTAATGAGTCATGAACACATTATCACCTGACACTTGCTTCTCAGGGATTTTTTGGGGGAAGTGCTATACCAAGATCTAGTACATGCTACCGACTATCAAGGACCTATATATTACTGTGGATATGAAGATAAAAGCTTTACTTTACCAACTCTACCAACAGAATCCACTTAGAACATACAGATCCCATGAAACTGTTGTTCTCTTAACTTCATTATACCTTCAATTACTGCAAACATATGGCATCAACGATAAAAAATCAAAACAAAATTATTTTGTCATGTTGTTGTTGTTGTTGTTATGTGCCATCGAGTCGTTTGCAACTCATAGCAACTCTATGTACAACAGCCCTAAACCTTGCTCTATCCTGCGCCAATCGCACTGCCTCTGACACACCCATCCCAATTATCCCAGTCACTGAATCAATCCACCTCATAGAGGGTCTTCCCCTCCTGCGCTGTCTCTTCACCCTCCCAAGCATCATGTCCCTCTCCAAGGACCTGTCCCTCCTTACAACATGTCCAAAGTATGTCAGACAAAGCCCCAGAATCCTGGCCTCCAAGGAGTAGCCTGGTTTAACCTTCTCTAGGATGAATCTGTTTGTTTTCTTGGCAGTCCAGGGTACATTGAATACTCTTCTCCAGCACCA